ATGAAATTTTATTATCGGTTTTCTCATTTATATGAAGAAGGAATAAGTTGTGGTCATCAACTAAGTGTCCCCAAGCATAAATTTGTCTACGCTTTCCAATTGATACTTTCAATGATCGGAAATGGACTTCAAAGCCATTCTTATAAGCAAGCAAATAGATACAATATTTCGTCTCTTACAAGAGACAAAATATACATAAGTTAATACAAGATCGATTGTCGCCACATGCAACCTACAAGTTTCTACACCTAATATATCGGAATAGGTATTGTTCCCCATATAGATGCGCTTCTCCTTGGCTTTTATTTTTTTAAAGTCATTGAAGAGGCCTTTTGAGCTTGCAATGTGTTGATTAGCTTTTGAGTCCACCCACCATCGTTTGATGTCGTGGTCTATCAGCAGGCACTCATAAACCACACAAACAACTTCACTCTTCTTGTTTCTATTCCCACTATTCTTTGGATTTTGTGAGTTTCTATTTTGTGGACAACGGTTTTTGAAGTGACCTAACTGACCACATAAAAAGCATTTTGGCAGTCCATGTTTAGTTTATTTGTTGTAGGGCATAGTTCATTTGTTTTTTAACCTATTGTTCATCTTGTTAAACTTCCCTTGAAATTTATGGTTATCAGACTTGTGTTGGCTAATTTTGGAGATCCTTGAGCAAATATGAGTTCACTCCTTTATCTTTGTTCATGTGCTTTTATCTAAGGCTAGTTGCATAGGTATGTCCCCTAATGTAAGAGATTTTGCATTCAACTTAAGTGCAATTGTTACCATCCCCCATGAAGGTGGAGGACAATTTAAGATAGTGGAAACTTGCATACGCTCGGGGATTTTATTCCCAACAATGGCTAAGTCCTTAGCCATAACGAGCATCTTGTTAACATGTTCCACTACATTGTTACACTCCTTCATCTTAAATAAATTATATTGTTCTAATAACAATTGGAGGGGTGTTTCAAAGGTTGAGTCATATTTAGTTTTTATTGCCTCTAGCATTTTCTTAGATATTTCATGATGCTCGAAAACCTTAATAAGGTCATCTTGCATAAAAGTTATATAGATGTTTTTGCTATGAGGTCATATTCTAAAAATTTTTCTAGCATTTTTCTTTCTTCTTCAGTTGGTTTATCACCAACTTTTGGTGGATCTTCTTTTAGTACATATATTATTCTATCTTGGATGAGAAGATATTCCATCTTCCTCTTCTATATCCCCAAATAATTTCCATTCAATTTTTCAACTTGGGAAAGTTCAGCCATTACAAATCTATTGTCAATTTGCTAAGTTTTGTGTGAGCAAATTGATTCTTTCTAAGTTTTAAAGAAGCTAAACAAGGCACCAAAAATTTAATATTTGGTCAATACTTGTACAGAGAGAGCTGCAATTATTTCATAAAATAATATCAGTTATTAAGTGATGTCTTAAAAAAAATTGAAATAGGTAATCTCTCAATCTATAAATAAGTACTACAATTATCGAAGACAATATAAAATTTCCCGCTTATGTTATTTATTTGGGGTGCAAGAGCAATATCACGGTGTCTGAGTCTTGATAATAAAAGAGCAAATATCAAATATCAATTTCTATATGACACCAAGGCAGTAAATGCATTAATTGCATTCAAATATCAGCAATACAAAAAAAGAAGAAGTAAAGAATAAGTCTTCTATAATTTTCGTCTCTCCCTTTTCTTTTTATTTTTATTTTTATTTTTATTTAATAGAAATACCAACAATATATAAGGCAACAAAATAGCAAAATATGTATTTAGAGATGTGATATATGTACAAAGTGACTATATCTTTATAACAGATAATCCACCATTAAATATTTAATAGAGATGCAATATATGTGTGATTTAATGTTGTGGTTGCAATGACTTGCACACAATTAATACTTGAGGCTGGGCCCATCAAAAATATTTTCAACTTCCTTAGTTTTAAAAAGTATGGGTGCTGCCTATCGTTTTATATCTATCGGTAATCATAAGCAATATCTTAAATACGACTGTACTCAATATCTTAAAATATGGCTGCATGCAATATCGCAATATCTTAAAAAATATTGCTGCATGCAATATCTTAAAAAAAATATTTCGTTACCAACTAGATATTAGTTTGTTACCAACTAGATATATATGGATCCCTATTTTTCTTACATGCTAGCAAGATATTAGTGAGCCCTTATTTACTTCTATGAGTATAAAGTATATAAAAAACAATAATTCACTTTACGTGCTTATCAGAATGCAAGTATTCTAAGTAAAATAACAAGTGACTTTTACGTGCTTATCATAATGCAAGATATTTTGAGTATAAAGTCCAAAAATAGCAAAAAGCGAAAAAGAAAAAAAAGAACAACAATAACATTCTGTACTATGTATAGAAATTCATTGCAATATTGCCAATAGAGGTTTACAGTATTGTAAACACAGTGGGACTTTCCTAAAACAGAGACGATAAGAGAGTAAAATTTGATGATGCCCTTATGTAGTAACCTTCCAAAAGGGATAATAATAGATAATAAATAAATAAAAGATCAAGGAAGGAACGCACGGCTGAGGCACACGGGATAATAAAGAAAAGCTGGATTGAGATTGAGAAAATTACAACAGCACCAAGATCACTATAACAACCACGCTCTGATACCAGTGAAAATGGAAATTGATGGAATGCGTATGATACCAGCCCGAGATCAAAGAAAATGCCGTGAGGCTGGTGATCGCAGAGCCCTGATTTTTCTTGGCCTTTTGAGGGAGAGCAGATGAGTTTTGTGTTTACAAATGAAACTCGTATATCTTTCTTGCTGGGTTCTTCCTCTCTCTGGCTTCCTATTTTGTAAAGAAAAAAAAAAGGCTTAACAGTTATCTTTCCTACGGGTGTCTGAGAAAAAGTCTTCCTTGATCTTAAGGACATTCATCCAATATTCACAAGGGCATGTGAACGTTGGATGTGATCAATATAGGATTCAATTGTAAGCCTCCCAGCCCACAATTGTAGGCAAAGTCATGCTAAGCCTTATGACCATACGTGTTAACATTAAATCCCTCGAACCGCTTGATGAAGGTTATATACTAAATTTCACGATGGTCTATGGGATATATTGGGGTCCTTATTTTTTAGAGAGAGAATATAGAAGGAAGAGTGAAAACCCAAAAAGAGGAGAGAGAAAATCACTTGAGAGACTTAGTTCTGTTTTGTAGTATAACGAAGGTGCCTGGTACAAACCTCACCGGAATTACAAGCACCTAATGAAGACTAACACACATCGATATGCGCTGGGAAGACCGCAGGCCACTTTCAAGACACCATGGTCAGTGTTTGCAGTATGGTCCGTATCATAGTCCAGAGTGGCTGCAATGTAATCCATATTTAGTCGATTGGACTCCAATCAAGATTCGAATAGAACAATGTTCGAAAAGTCTACTTGGGCTGACTACTTGGCCATGCCCCAGCTGAGTACTCACATGAAGTACTGTAGCAATTGAGAACTATTAAAAAATAAAATAAACAAATTCAAAATAAAATTTAACAAAACACAACTAATTGTAGTTAAAAAAGTAGCAAAAAATAGAATATAGATATGAAAAAAGTTTATATAAGGTGCCTTAAAATGTAGAATCACAGATGCACCTAAAAATTCATCGGAAAAGGTTGTTGTAATGTTGAAAAAACCTCTAATTGATCATCGTGATATTGAGATGTATGAATATGAAAAAAAAGAGATTTTGAGTCTCAGAAGTAGTGCATCTTGCAATACACAGTCTAGACTGTCCATTTTTAAGATTTTCATATGTTTAAAGATCTACTTGATTTTAACTATTTTTGAAGTGTGTTATTGATTAAATTCAAAGTTCTAAAAAAATTTCTCAAACTTTGTGACACACTCCAAACTATCCCTTTGACATTTAATGGCTAGCAGCAATTGTGACTTCCTTGTAACAAAGATAAATGGTTCCACTGTAGACAATCTTTTTAAAAAATGAGTTTATGATTGAAGATATTTTTAATTTTTTTCAAAAAAGATGAGAAAATATAAAAATAAGTATTCATTGCCAAAATACTTTTCAATCTTTGTCAAAATGATAGAAAATACAAATAAATATGTTACACATATATTTCTTTTTATTTTTTTTTATAAAAAAAATTAATTAATTAACTTTTATTTTTTTTTTAAGATTCTCGAGTTGGACCTCGAATTTGAGACAACTCGGGCCCAAGCCAACTTAGCCGATCTTTCGAACACTGGAATAGACTAGCAAGACTGCACCCGTGTATTGGCTACGGTGTCTCATGCATTGATGGAAGTGCAAAATGCCTCTTAAGCGCGATCACACATGCAAGGGACGATTCATGGAAACAAATATGTCATGAACATAAAAGTGGATTCCTCTATTTAAACATGACTCCTATTTGAAGAAGTATATATAAGGTTGACTGCTTATATCATAGAATTAAGGTGCACTTCAAAAATCTATCCAAAAAGGCTGTTTTGATTTTTCACATTGGAAAATTGTCTAATTGATAATCTCAACATTGAGATCTATGGATATGAAAAAAAAATAAAAAGAATATTTTAAGTCCCAAAAATATTTCATCTAGCAACACATTATTTGGACCGTGTTTAAGATTTTTATACGTTTATATATCTGTTTAATTTAAACTACTTTTTGAGCTTAAAATTTTATAATTAAATAGAAAAATAGATTATGAGGCCATTTTAAAGATTTTCGACATCAAAATTACATCCTATAACAAAATTTGGAGGTGGGCTGCAACCTTATGCAAACCACACCCTTTTCACTCACCGATATGGAACTAAAAGTGTGTCACTTAAGTTGTACTTTTCTTTTGTTTAAAGGAAAAAGCAACACATAACACAGTATACCATTTATTTATTTATTTTTTTGACAAATAACACGGTATAACATATTTTGAAGCAGCAGTTTCAAGAAACTAAGATTCCCACTATGCACTCCTAGCATACATGTTAGATTAACCAGATTAAGCACAATTATCACATTTCCAATGCAAAAAGTTACAGAAAAAGTAAAAAACACAACAAAAACCAAACCAATCGTCATTTACATATTTTTTCCTGTAGATCAACAAGAGTTAAAGGCATTAACTCTGTCCTTGAGTAATAATAATACAGTGGAACTCAAATCCAAATAAAATGTTAAATACCATTGTGAGCATAGTTTATTTGTGTTTTTTTGGGGGTCAATAGCACAACTCATTTGTTCTGCTGTAGATTTGGTTGGATGGGTTGTACACGAAATGCTCCAGGACCTTGTGCAGCAAAATCCCTTTCTGCCTGCAAATGGTGATAACTTTGTTCCAATTCTGTGATGTTGCCATCAACTTGATGCTGATTTTGAGAGTGAGAAAACAAGTTCAGACAGAATCCTCATAAAACCTTAATGAAACACTAGGAACTCTAGAATCAAAATTTTAAAATTGAAAGAGATTAGTACCATAATGTACTGCAATTGCTTGTTTTGTTCTTCGAGGATTTGTTTCTGTGGCCCCAAATGGTTGGTTATGCAGAATGGTGGATCAATTCAAAATTCAAAGCTTTTCACAGAGAGAGAAGGGGGGAGGGAGGTATCTTACATTGCTCTTTAGCATCTGGGTCCTGCTATGAATATGTTCCATCTGTTGAGACAGTTAAAATTGAAAAATAAGCAGTGAGTTTAGAGTGAAATACGTTTCAACACGCTTCAAATACGCAACAGGGCATTGAAAATGGCAGACTAGCCTTGCTTCCATAAGAATTAAGTGACAAAAAAGAAGAAAAAGAAACGAGAACTTGCCTGCTTAGCACGAACGCTAGCAATACCCACTTCCAAAGAGTCTTCGAGCCTATTGAGTTCACCGGCCGTTAAGGAGTTCAGATCCTCACCCATCAAGTGCCTGAACCTCCGGATTCGAAAATCAATGGAAAATCCAAGAGAAAGTTGTTTTGAGAATTTATTAATGTTTAAGGGGAGAGGAGCATTTGGAACTTCAGAGAGAGAAATCAAACGTTACCTTAACTGAACCCTCATGTTTTCATTCTCTTTCTTCATCATACCGACCTCTGCGCTCAAGTGCTATAACACCACAATTTGGCAGTCAAAAAGTATTTCTAGTTTCCGAAAGAACAACTGCTTTATACGGGTTGGATCGCATTTCTATAATATCCGGTCCAGAGGTATAAAGCATCCATCATCTAAAAACAATTGTAACTAATTGTCTAAATGGTTTCTTAATATAATTATTATTTCTAGTTATTTTTCATATTCATGGTCTCCATGTTAAAGATTATATATTCTCTAAAAATTAGGATCAAATTATATTTAAAAATATATTTATTGTCAAGCCCGTATTTCTATAATAATTATTTGCTAAATAAAGATTTTTAATTTTCTCCCACTGTAAAATGTACTTTTTTTTAAAACGAAAATATAATAATATTAAGTCAATGAAGAAATAAAATTATCTGGAAGAAGTTTTTTTTGAAAAAAAATGAATTACGGATTTATATGGGATCCATTAAAAAAATGATTTTTTTGAAGATTATTCTTAGTTTCGTTTAAATTGAAAAGGGACCATTGTCAATAAAACAACTTCATTTTGATATTCATTTTTTTGCATTTTGATAGTAAGAGAGAGAGATAGGAGGTGCAACCTCATGCTGGGCATCCCATAGCTTATTTCCGGAGGTCCTCTGGTATTCTCCTAACATATCCTTAAGCCTTCAAGCTCAAAACGGTATGAGTAAATCAACAAGAGATAGAGAGAGAGAAAGATAGAGAACCAGAAACTAAAAGAAACGGAAAAGAAAATACAAGAGATAGAGACCATTCCGAGCAGTAGACGAAGAGAGAGTCGAAGATGGAAGAAACTCAGAAGAAATAGAATACAAAGAAGAACAAGAGAGAGAGAGAGCTCACGAGGTAGAAGGGGTGCAGTATTCAAACATTTTGCCGGTGCTCGAAAAGAGGACGAGAGAGACCTTGGCATCACAGAGAACGGAGATCTCCCTTGCTTTCTTCAGAATCCCAGTTCTCCTCTTGGTGAAGGTCACCTGCCTGTTTGTCGAGCTCTCTATCCTCTTTATCTCAATCTTCCCTCTACCCATTCTCTCTCTCTCTGCAATTCCAATATACAGTTTGAGTCTCTGCAATTCCAATGTGGAAGAAGAGAGAAGAAAATAAAGGTGAAAGAGAGGAGATGGAATCCATTTAGGGGGTGGAGAGACAAAACTTTCGGGGAGTGTAGGCACAGTCCAGCATTTTCAAGTAATTAGCCTAACTGCCCACCCTCTCTCTCTCTCTACTCCGTTAAATCTCTCTTTCTTTCTCTTGTAAAATAAGATCAATTTATGGAAAATTACAAGGGACAAGAATATCAATATTTTAAAACCCATATATTTCCGATCTGGATTGGGTTGTCGATCTAGATATAGAATCAGTTAGGACAGAACCGGCTTAGGAATACTACGGATCCTCTCCTGATCCCCCCGTGAAACCCCCTTGTTCATTTTTTTCCTTTTTTCTATAAGTTTATCTACTATTTTTTGTGGTCCCCTAAATCCCTAATCTATAAACGTCTATTTTAATTTTAATTTTATTTATTTTTTTTTTAATTTATTTGGATGACTGATCCAGACATTTGAGAAGAATCTAGATTGTCGATCCAAACCGGGATTGAGGTGGATGATTCCACCTATCCGTTTTTGAAAACATTAAATAATATCTTTTTTTTTTTAAATGGAAAATTTGGACCATTTCTCGATTTGTGCATGTCATCCTTGCGCAAGGGCCATGCTAATCTTCTCTGTATCATTCTAATTAAACATTAGAGAATATCTTACTTTCTTTTATGATTTATTTTAAAAAATCACGTGCAATGATATTTATTTTAGGTGTGTTTTTTATAAATGAATGAAATATTGAATCTAATAATAAAGAATATTGGCATAGTGGTATTTTATTTTAAAAAATCACGTGAAATGATATTTATTTTAGGTGTGTTTTTTATAAATGAATGACATGTTGAATAATTGATAAAATTATTCTAAGAATAAAGAATATTGGCGGAGTGGTATTTTAAGAACGCACCGTAAATTTCTTCTCTCGAGTGAAAGACCCCTTAAGGAAGATTTTTTAGATTTAAAATTTTAAGATCCAATCAAGAATTAACATAAAAAATTGCCTTCAAATTGCTAAACACATGATCGTCCAACAGTTTGATGCTATTTGTTTTCAAGGGTATTTTATCTCAAATAAAAATATCACTCGACTAAATATTTCATCTCAAAACCTATTTTCAAGGACCGGAGTAAAGCTCTCGATGGGAGGGAGGTATGTGTGCTAGGCGGTAAGAATGGCGGGATATTGGATTCAAGCCCTCTTTTGGTTGCGGTGGATCGAGTAGCTTGGGAGCATCTAGATATCAAATCAGAATTTTTTGTGTCAGGTTCTTTCTTGCCTCCTGTTGCTGCTTTTTTTGGCTTATCTGACTGGGCCTAGAGGGTTTGGAATTTGTCTCACTGTCTTGATGTTAACACTATCGATGCCAACAAAGTAGTTTTAAAACTACGTTCGAAAGAGGAGGTAAGGAAAACCCTTTCTTTTAGATTCTGTAGAGTCAGAAGAAACCTACTTTTGTTATATCATTGAAAGCCTTCAGATCATGCATCTTTTTTTACAAATAGAGTCAGTTTGGTTAAAATTGTGGGGTCTCCCTCTATCTGCCTGGAATTTGGTTATTATTAAAAAGGTGGTTGGGTGGCTTGGGGTCTATCAGGATTTGCACTGGGACTAATTTTTGAGTCCTATATGTCAATTTGTGCATGTTAAGGTTGGGAAATATTTCGGTTTGTCAATCCTAAGGAATATCCATTTATGCTTTTGTTTATAGTGCAAAATCAGAGAGATCTTCAGACGAAGATCTCTCGGATCTGAACACCACAAACTGATTTTAAAAGAAGATAGAGAAAGCGGGGAAAATCGAATTCTGATCTGAGGCCAGATTTGCTCAGAGACAAGCATACCTGCTCTTAGTGGTAGCGCCAGCATGATCCGAAATATGAAACACTGAATAAAAAGAAATAAACTAACTATTCCTAATTAAAATGCAATAAAAAGAAGAAACAAGGAAGAGTGAAAGAAATATACCAGACCGGGCCAGATGGCTCGGAACTCCCGAGGCTTCAAGGCCTGGCCCGTATCAGAACCGGTATCCTCTTGTTTTTTTCTCTTCAGGTTTTGACCAGGCCTTGGCCTGGTTGAATGGGTTTTCTTGATCTAAGGATGGCAGAAACTAAGGTTTTCCTAGGTCTAGGTTTCTTAGGTCTAGGGTTTTACAAAAGGTCTCAAACTAGGGTTTTTTTTTTGAGCTAACTCTTTTCTGACCTAATTCTTAGAAAAGCCCCCACAAACAGCCGCAAATTTTCATTTTTATAGATTGAGAATCGACTCAAAAGGGCAACTTACTATCACTAGCAAATCACCAGCCTGATATTTATGGGGTCTCGGGTCTGGGCGACACCAGTGGCATCGCTAGGCCAAAATTGGTCAAATTCAGGAAATTTGACCCAAAATAGTTGGGGGACCTTTGGCATCTAGAAATTGCCTTTTCCGGCCAGTGTCGCCCATGTCAAGACTGCTCAAAAACAGAAATTTATGATGCAGAGCAGATTCTGGTGCAGTGAAGATGCTGCCTACCAAAAATAGTTTATTTTGGGTCAGTCTAGGCTTGGTGACACTACCAGTGTCGCCCAAGGCAGAACTGCCCAAAATGGCAGATTCTTGTTCAGGACTGATCAATGAGTTGTCCTGCCAAAAACTGATGATTTCTGCTCAAATTGGGTTGGGCGACCCCAGTGGTGTCACCCGGACGACAGTTGTGGCGTCGTCCACACTAGTGGTGTTGCCCAGTCTTGATTGGGTGGCACTACCAGTGTCACCCCAGACCAAATATGACCGAAATTGCCAATTTTCAAGACAGGTCTGTTCTATAGGCTCTTGTGATTCTTCTTGAGAAAATTTGGGTCAAAACAAGTTATTTTGCTATTTTTAGTGATTTTTTTGGTAAAACAGGGTATCTGTTTGATCATAGGTCACAGGGTAGGCAGTATGGTTCTGGATCACAGGATAGGCAGAATGGACTATGGTTGGGGGTTTACTAGGATAGTGTGGTACTATGGGTTCAGGAAAACTATAGAATTTGCCAGTTTTAAAATGGGGTGTCTACAGTTGCTTCTCTTTGGCACTTCCTGTCCTTCGAAGGACAGGTGAGTGACAAATAAGCAGACACTTTGGCGTTCCCTGTCCTTCGAGGGGCAGGTAAGCAACAAAGACGGTGGCATTCCCTGTCCTTCGATGGGCAGGTGAACGACAAAATAATGCAGAAATTATAAATTTCATCCTGACGTTACGTGGTCAGAGGGCGCGCCAACTAATCCCTCTAAGTCATTGCGCTCTTGAGTTCATCTACCTAGGGCATTTTCATCTTAAGGTTTTTGGCATGAAATGTCGGTGAGTTACACAAGCTTGAAACTCGAGTTGGATTTTCTGGCCATGCAACTTAACTTCAAGGGTTTTACAATTTCAAATTTCTTAAAACTAAAATTTTCTTTGATTTCCTTAGGGTTTCTTAAGGTCTTCTATAGGTTTCACCTTTTTAGGGAAAGGTTAGGCCAAGTCAATCCTGAACAGATAGATGAGGCGGCAACACGGTGATCATTATATACGGGTGTCCAAGTTCAAAAGACATCTTAGAAATTTTGAAAGTAGAGGGAGATTTGAAATAGAACCTAGAACTTGGACAGGTCACGATTTTAACAAAGAAATTAAAGTTTTTGAAAACACAAGACATATAGTGAAGCTTTTTGGAATGAGAAAAATATTTTGAAAAATAAATTTTAGTTAAAAGTTTCTAGCTCCTGCAACCATAGAGCCCTCTAAGAAGTTTAACGTCATGCAGCGATGGACAACACACTCGACCTTTTACGTCATATGGGGCTAGACGAATACACCCGGCCTTTTATATCATACGGGGCTAGACATTTTCTGAATACCCACGACTTTTTACGTCATACGGGGTTAGATGTTTTTTTAATACACCCGATCTTTTACGTCATACGAGGCTAGACATTTTTTGAATATGCCGACCTTTTACGTCATACGGGGTTAGACGTTTTCTGAATACACCTGACCTTTAACGTCATAAAGGGTTAGACGTTTTCCTATTTCGACTCTTTTACGCCACACGAGTTTGATGTTTTCCTGTCTCGACTCATTTACGTCATACGAGTTTGACATTTTCTAGGTTGGATTTTGGTTGGCAGTTTAGGCTTATGTCAACAATGAGCATTTTCTTTTTTATTTTTGATTTTTTTTTTTTTGAAATTGCTTGGCAGTTTAGGCTCGTGGCACGGAGGAGCATTTTCATTTTGAATTTTTTTTTTTTGGCTAGGCGACACGAGTGGTGTCGCCCAAGAAAAGAAAAAAAAACAAATTCCTTTTCATTTTTATTTTTTGAAATTTTTATTTTTGGATGGGCGACATGGGTAGTGTCGCCCAAGAAAAAATATTTATTTTTTGATTTTTATGTTTTGGTTCGGCGACACAGGTAATGTCGCCCAAGAAATTTTTCTTTTTTGATCTTTTATTTTTTGGATGAGCAACATGGGTAGTGTCGCCCAAGAAAAAAAATTTATTTTTTGCTTTTTGTGTTTTGGCTGAGCAACACGGGTGGTGTCGCCCAAAAAAAAAAAACATTTTTTTATTTTTTATTTTTTGACTTGGAAATTTTTTTTTTTTTTTTATGTTTTGGTTGGGCGACACCGGTAGTGCCGACCAAGAAATGTTTTAAAATTTTTGGATGGCCAAGAAATTTTTTTAAATTTTTTGGATGAGAAATTTTTTTTAAATTTTTTGAATGGAAAAAAGTTTTATTTTTTGATTTTTGTGTTTTGGGCTGGGTGACATGGGTGGTGTCACCCAAATTTTTTTTATTTTTTATTTTTTTGGATGGGCAACACTGGTGGTGTCGCTAAAAAAAAATTTTATTTTTTTATTTTTTAATTTTTGGACAGAAATTTTTATTTATTTTTTTATGTTTTGGCCAAGAAAATAAATATTTTTTTAATTTTTTGTTTTTTGGATGGGCGACATAAGTAGTGTCGCCCAAGAAAAAAA